GGAAAATCCTAATGTATACGACTGACAGACTCGTGACACAGTGACTCTCCGTAAAATAAGGTGCCCACATATAATTTCAAAGTTGTTTTTATTGGAGGATTGAATACCACAAGATAAGAACACATAAATAATAAGATAAATATCACTTTAACTCTTTATAATTTTACCAATATTTACATAATTATCTATCATTTAGAAGTAAGCATATTAAATTTTGTAGACTAAAGTATATGACCAGACCTCTTAACCAGCATCCCCATTACTTCTAATACAATCATGAGCACATTAATTTTCAAATTATAATTTTAAAAAAATCAAAAAAATAATAATTTTTATTGAAAACATTTGTTTGCAAAAAAATAGTAGAAATTTTATATATATATTTTTTTTACATAAAAAAAAAACGTGCCTATAATAAGTGATTCACATCCTCAAGCAAACGTGCAATGAAAATGTCACACGTATACTACCCGTAGGTTATGTCTATGGGGTATTAACTTTTGGGTTGAATTATTACACCCAATCAAAAGACTCTGAGTTGTACCATTATGACTCATTACCACAGCACGGGTGCAACAACACCAAAAGCACAACCCCTGTAATGCAGCTTTCTTGTCCTTTCAGTTATTTATTTTATGAATTATGGAATCAATACTATGTGCTCTGATGAGTGCACTCCAAACTACAAAACAAAGCTCTTTGTCATGGACTGTGTTTGGTAACCTACACTTGCTTGTCTTACTACTACTTTTATTTTAAATAAATTAAACAATTATCATCCTCGAGATTTTAACAAAATATATAACAAAATACAAAATTAATATAATAATATATTTTCTATTTTTTTAAGATTAAAAAATAAGTGAAAATGACAAAAATATTGAAAAAATTCAAAAATAAACTTTTTATCTTGGTTCATCGGGTTAAAGCCTACAAGTTGGCTGTTGACCTGTGAGTGACACCTTAGTTTGTGAGCTTGTTTGTGCCAAACCAATTGAACCATATTTGGGTCTACGATTTTGACTCACGGTCGAACTCAAGCTCGCTTGAAAAAAGAATTTTGGGCTTGGCCCGCAGATTCAATTAAGCATTATTTTCATTAACAATGTTTGGTAGTTCGAATTTTTATGATCGAATAGTTTGAATGTCTCAAAACGATGTCATTTTAGTGATCAAACTACGTGGTTTTGAAACATTCGAACTAATTAGATTACACAAATTTGATCTACTAAACATTTTTCTATTTTTACCACATGACCTAATGCGGATACTTAGGGGTGTTTTAGAAAGTTGATAAAACCCTAACTTTTTGACTTTTTTTTTTTTTTTTTACTCTTTTGGCAAAAAAATATTGACTTTTTTGATGACTTTTTTGTGACTCTTTTTAGAGAACTTGGTAAAAAGTCAAAAAAACTCACTTTTTACCAAATTCCCGAATTGCCCCGTAGTTATTTCCAAATCTCACATGATTTTTGTAACATTGGTAATCTAATAATTCTACTAATAAAAAAATCTCCTAACATAAAATCACCAAAGATTGTATTTAAATAAAATGTTAAAATTAAAAGGAAAAGCCTCTTAACTCAAAAAATATATTTAGAAAATTAATGAATATCTGAGATTGAAAAATTTTAAAAGGAAAATTATTAATAAAGCCAAGAACATTTAGATGTACGCCACGTAGATCTTGAAAAAAAAATTAAAATATAAATTATCAAAATAAAAAGAAAAATTTTAAAGATCATAATAGAAAAATAATTAACATAAAACAGGCAAAGCATAATTACTCAAATAAAAACACCAAAAATAGAGAAGATCGCCCATCAGATGGAGAGGATTTGGTTCATTGGGTTGAGAAGCAAGCATCATGAGCTGTCTCTTCCTGTTGATTGAGAACTGATTTCGTTTGCTGTAAACTCAACTGAAGAAACGCCAGAGAACTGTCTACCTTCCTTCAGTTAATATTACACCCTAGAGAAAGGGTATTTTAAGAGATGATTAAAAGTTAATTTTTTAATTATTTTTAGTTTTTTTTTTTAAATATATATAAAAATTATGAGAGATGATGTGATTGTTCAAAATTGAGAAATGATTTTTAATCCATTTCTTAAAAAAGGTCAGAATCTAACTTTTTTTTAATAATATAATTATTATATTTTAAAAATATTTGGTTTGTTTTTCAAAAAAAAATTTTGGAAAAAATTCTCTACAAACAAATTTTCAAGAGTAATCAAACCAAACAAATTTTTCAAAAAAAAATCTCAAAATTTTGTTTAGTTATCTACTTTCCAAAATCACTCTCTCTCTCATACACATCAAATCAATCATTTTTTTTAAAACTCTCTCCCTAAAATAATTTTCTAAATCCATTTCTAAAAAAAAACAAACCAAACAAGTTTTCGTACTTTTGATCTCAAAAACTACTCTACAAACACAAACCAAACACACCCATTAATTTTGAAAAATTATCTTTTGATAGTATATTTTTTAAAAAATATCAATTATCATAATTATACTTTTGTGTTATTAATATAATTGTTATATTTTAAAAATATTAATTTTTTAAAATTATCTTTTGATAATATATTTTTTGAAAAAAATCAATTATCATAATTATACTTTTTGTGTTATTAGTAAATTTAAAAGAAGGCCAAAATAATAAATTTATATTATTTTATTTATTAATTTTTGAAAAGAAATTAATATTTTAAAATAATAAAAAATAAAATAAAAAATTAATATTTTAAGACGGAGAATGTGAATGACATTATCAAATTTTCACTAACACTACTATGTTCTTGCCATTTTCATGTTCGAAAAATATTCATTCCTTTAATTTTGTTTCTTTAATTTTATCTCTAATTATGTGAAATTAAGGCCTCATTTGAAAATGTACTATTTTAATAATTTTTTTAACTTTTTAACTAAAATTTGAGATAAAAAAATTAATATATTTGAGATGATTTTTTAATTTTTTATAAAAAAAAAATATGTAAAAAATAGAGAGAAAAAATAAATCTTTAATTTTTTGGTATAAGTTATTGAATTTTTTTGTGACTTTTCGACTTTTAAATTAAAATATTGAATTGTCAAACGAGTTATAAAGAAATTAAAGATAAAAAAAAAGAGTGTAAAATTGCTTCATATAAAATGTATCACGACATGAAAAATGAAATTAGAGATGCAAAATTAAGAAATATAATGTCACTTTTCCATGACATTGCAATGGATTGCTATGACATTTTCTTTAACCCAAGGGTGTGGCGGACACGCTCAAGATCTTAAATTCAACTCTCTTTGATGTTAGTTATTAGAGTGATAGTATATATGATTGGTATGACAAATTTTTTAAAAATGGATTAACTGTACCCAGTATTAAAAGTATGGGTTCAAATTCTCGTCTGTATGCAAGTCATCGACTTACGAACATGATTAAGTGGATCTGCTATATAGCATCGCCTAAGAGTGACATTTGAGATCTCGAATCCTTATGGTCTAATCTCATAAGCCACCTTTATGTAGTTCGACCCCTTTTTTCAAATGACATTTTCTTTTAAAAATAATAATAATAAAACAAAGTTAAACTTCTCTCTTATTTAAATTTAAACTTGAATGTTATATTTAAGCCCATAATAGGTTTTTTTTTTTTTAATGTTTCAAATTTATAAATTTAAACTTGAATGTTATGTTTAAGTCCATCGTAGATTATTTTTTGTGTTTCAAATTTTTTATTTTATGCTTTTGTTATAATACCATTTATGAAAAAAATTAAGTCGATCTAATAATTATAATATTTTTATTTTATCACGTTTGTCTAAAAAAATGAACGATAAGTATACTTCTAAATTACAACCTTAATAAAGTCTAATATAATTATATTAAATTTATGGGACTAATTGTACTTCTTTTAAATCTCGAGCGAGGTTATAATTTACATTTTTAATTACAATAGAAGTGAAAATCTAAAAATAACTACAAACAAATATATTTTTAATTTTCAAGACAATTTTGTCCATCTTACTCTCTCTTCCTCATATCTCTCTTAATTTCACCTATTCCAACTTTGGCAATCCCCCCGCTGCCAACCACCCAACCCCTCCATTTGGGTGGTGGTGATGTGTGTTTTGAAGAGAGAATTATAATAACAAAGCTACTTGAAGTAAAAAAATAAGTGTCTAATCGTACACTACTAGTACATGCTCATTCACATTCATAACTAGAAGAAGTACCAGTGAGAGACTTTTGAATCAAACTAGCTTAGCCAACTTACCAAAGTATATAACAAAGCTATTTGGAGTCAAAAATAGGTCCCTAAGTTAACCACATAAGCACATGCCTACTCACAACCACAACAATGCAATTTGGAGTAAAAAATAGAAGTCTAACACAAGTACATGCCCACTCAAACTCACAAAACACTTCTAAAAAAAAATCACATAACACTCAGAAATAGAGGGGGGAGAAAGAGAGAGACGGAGAGCCAACTTGCCAAGTATAACAAAGCTAGTTGGGGTCAAAAATAAGTGTCTAACATTAGTCATACAGAAGTAGTACATGCCCACTCAAACTCATAAAACACCCCCCCAAAAAAAATGTTATATTTAAGAGAATATAATTTGTAATAAGGCTTTTACCATTTTTGCTCAAATAAAAATATTAATCAATAATTAAATAAAATAATTTACAAATTAAGGGCACCTCACAAATATAAAAAAAACACAATGTCAAGGGATTAATTTGGTATCTAAGATGTTTTTTCACAGGACATGAAATTTAAGATTGAATCTTATCAGAGTTAATATAGTTTTTCTTCTCCTTATTCTCCTTCATTTTTTTGACAATAAAAAATATAATATTGTTATCTTGACAACTCGAAATCCCGGTGTCAGATTATTTTTCAGAATAACTTTATTCAGCACATTTATCAATAATTTTTATTTTTTATAAAAAATTTATTTGTAGATCATTTTCTCTGGAACAGATTGAAGCAGTGAAAGAGGAGGTTGCAACAATTTATTTATTTATTTTCATAATCAATAATAGCACAACTTACATTTGCTTAAAAGGGTAGGGGAGTGAAGAGGTAAAGAGAGGCCCCAGGGGCTTATAGTAGCAACTCATGAGTTTCCAAATACAGGCAGCAATGTATTTGCACAAACACATTAGCAAAATAGTACATGTACTATTTCAGCTTGTAGCTATAGCTAGCTAGAGATAGAACCATACATGAGAATTTTTTTTATTTTTTTTTAATTTTTTTTTTATTATTATTTTTTTTTATCAACGCCTCCTAGCAGCCGTTTCCCTTTGGGAATTGAAGAAGACAGCAGCAACAGGAAGGCCAAGTCCATTCTCTTGTGCAAATCTTCTGGTACTGAATTGATCCCTTGAAGATGGTGTTGCCACTGCCTGTCTTCTTTGCTGCTTGAATAGAAAAAACACAAACCTATGGATCCCAATGTATGGCCTTGGTATTTCATATTCCATCACCTCTCTCCCTGTATATATATATATATATATATATTTACATTTGGCAAACAAAACCCATATGTTAAATAAGTCATTTTCCATCACTCTCTCTCTCTGTCTCTAGAGGAATGAGAAGACATACCAAAGGAGGAATCTGTGGTGCCTGGAATGTCTGTGACTATCCTGTAATTTTGTCAACAAAAGTTGAAAACATAAGTATGCTTTTTGGGGTACATTAGGAGAATGATTTTGCTTTTTGATAAGACTTGGAACAGTTAACCTCCTAATAATTACATGATTCTGGCCAGTTGAATCAGTCTTAGCCCCGTTTGTGAATTAAATATTTTAGTTGTTTTTTTATTTTTTACAAAAAAATGAACAAAAAAAAATATTAAGAATGATATGATAACTTATAATAACTTTTTTACTACAAATCTCACGCTCCAAACGGGGCCTTAGTTGGTTCCATTCCCTTTTCGTGACTTGTTTGAATTTTGAAAAAGTATCAAAACACAAAAATTGATTACTAAACCAAACACATTCATCTTATGTATGAGGTGGGTTCCACATTTTTGTGAGTCCTACAATCATGGATTATATAATTGATTTCTATATGACTAGAAGAAACTGTTCTATTCCGTTCAGTTTTAGAGGGCATACCAGTGCAAGTGCTCCCTCAGGTATGGATCACTAGGACCAGGAACATCTGGGTCTGTCATAATCTGCAAGATGGCACATAGCTCGGGTCAAATATATAGAACAGACAGAAGATAAGTGAAAGGAAGAGAATGGTTGGTTGGGTTGGGCTACAGAAGAATACTCATGTACCAGTGTAAAGAAGGACCTCATATCACCGCCTTCAACTTCAACCCTAGGTTTAGTGGTCACTGAGGAAGGAAATAGCTCATGCCCATTAAAGACCTGCCTGTTGTTGTAAGTGACACTCATTTTGACACTTGGACAGAAGGTATCAACAACATCCCCAATCACTCTTCCAACCACTAGAGGGTCTGAATTTCTTGCCATGAGAGAGGAGACAGAGAGAGGGACTTGTGAAACAGAACAAGACAAATTTTATTTTTTTTTTGTAGGAAGTCTTGTTAATGAGGATTGAGGTAGAAACCTTGTATTTTATAGTGCTTAAAAGCACCCCTACAAGCAACCTTTGCCTGTGTTATCTTCTTTTTTTGGATTCCTTTTAATTTTTTTTGGATTCCTATGCCTGTGTTATCTTCAAGTACATATATGACTATTGAACTTTGTGTGTGTTGATGTGGTGTGGGTTACTAGCCTTGAGTATTATGTGGCTTAGCATTTTGCCAAAAAAAAAAAAGAGAGAATGGCAAATTTTGTAGTGCGCATCACACTTCTTTGGATCTATTTCTTTGATTACCACCCAATGTACTTAAAATTATGACTTAATTACATTGAGTTGTAATTAAAGAAATACTTATAATGAATACTTTTAGAAGTGCGCATCACAGATTATGTCAAAAGAAAATATTTCTATGAAAAATTAAAGAGAGAGGGGTGGAAAAGGATGATTTGACATGCAACTCTCTCTCTGTTGCACTCAAATATGTATATATATATTTTACACTAGCAGTACAAGAAAATGATGAAAGTAAATATGGGTTTCCACCAATTAAAGAAGTTCCATCTTATGTTCTTTTGTTTTTTTTATAGAAAAAGAAAAGGAGAGTTTGGAGATACTCGTTGGACATTCTCAACCTACCAAAAGCATTTGAGGCATGGAGACTTTTGTTTTTAAGGTAAGGAAAGGAAAAATTCCCCAGTTGGGTGTTGTTAGAACCTTCTACATTTAAGTAAATTATTAGATATTCTTAGTGTCGCAGTTGTATTTTTAGTCAATAAAAAATTGCAACACACATTAAAGGATCATTGTTTATTTTTTAATTATCTAACAAATGTGAGTCAACATGTCTCACTCAAATATTACATAATGTTCTGAAACTACTTAATAATTTTAAGCTATCCTATAAGATCTTACTAGTTGTAAAGATATTAGACAATTTTGTTTTTAAGGTAAGAAATGCCAAAATTCCTCAGATGGGTGTTGTTAGAACCTTCTTTATTTTGACCTATCTTATAGGAACTTACTACTACTTGTAAAGTTATAGAGAATAATAGAGGGGGTATAAAGGAGTTCCACCAATCCCACATACAATTACATAGTGCAAGTGGTTGGGGTGAGGTCATTTCAAAGTAAAGAGAGATTCAGTTGAAGAGATTCAGTTGGGCTCATTTCTGTGCTTCAATTGGTAAAAGGTGAGAGTGGAATTGCCACATATATGGAAGACAACTCACTTTTCCTCTCTTCTTAAATCCATGTGCTCCACTTTGCATCTACTCACTCACTCACTCACTGACCACCATTTTTTCCAAATCAAGCCTCTTTCTTCTTCTCTTTTTCAACTCTCTTGCAGTTTCTAGTTATGGCATGTTGATTTAATGTTAAATTCTTCACAATCCAATCCTTTTTTTTGAATCCTTGGTTATAAGTTACATGGTCAGAAGTAGGATGGTGTCCTTTCAATGCATAACCAATGGTAAGATTGCAAGTGTTTTGGCAAATCTGAATTCATTTTAGTTAAAGAAATATAATTGTATTTTGAAGACTATAAAGTATAAGAGATTAATTTTAAAAGAAATGTAAGTGTTCAAGTTTAGATTATATTAAAAGTGTAATATGATGCTATTTGCATTTCCATTTTTTTGATGTATTGTTACTTGTATTTTGTTTATGGTTGACCTCAATAAAAATTTTCTTTTGCTGCTTAAAAAAAAAATGAGATAAATTATAATGACTTATTATGTTTTGACATAATTACTATAATTTCTCATAAAATATAAAATAAATAACACTTTGCCCGATTATGTTAGTCTTCTGTTAATCATATGAATGAGTAGTGATGATGTCATGTTTTTATATAATGAAGTATCTATTTTACCCTTAATTATTCAAGTCCACACATTTCAGTGCATCCAAGCACTCGTTATTCCATATCTAAATGATGTTTGCCTATAAACCAAACATACTACAAGCCACGTCTTTCTCTTCCACATCTCTCCCCGTCCAAAACCAAAACCAGCTACAATCAAGCCACCATGGTCACAAATCAGTCACCTTGTTACAGATCAATCACCTCCAACCAAAATCATTCATCATCATCCAGAAATAACTTCAAAAAATCCAAAAATCAAACAAAAAAGGACTACATAGATTACCATGGTGGCACAACCACCCAGTTTTGTCCTTTATTTTTTTAAAATATGAGGGCATTTTGGTCTTTTTATATTTTTTGTTAGTAGGGTATTTTGAACAATAGTGTACTTTAAGAAATTTGTTTTTTTCTTATTTTGGTTTGCATGCATTTTTTTTTTTATGGCCGAGTGTCTGAACTAGTTTACGCGCACTTTGACTAATTTTAGGACTCACGAAAAGAGCTCCCTCCGTGTAGATCGGCCAAATCTCAAGTAGAGCCCGCGAATGTGGCACCAAGAATGTGGGTCATTCTAATTGAATTCAAAAATTATTTCAGTACGCCTAACTCAAATTTTAAAATTTTATTTCCTATTATACCTAACGTGAATTTATCAATAAAGACAACACATATTAAATTTTAAAATAAAATATTATTTTTTTTTCATAATACACCTTAATCAATTATACGTATTTTTCCTATTCAAATTTATTCATCTTCTTCCCAAGTTTCAATTATTTCTCCTCTTCTTCTTCTTCCTTACTCCGAAACTCCATTCCACCCCACCAAAACTCACCCTTATCATCAACATTATTATTTTTTTATATTATATTGTTACTTACAAATAGAAGAAAGTTTGAACAAAATCAAATAATTGATAAGTAATAATTAAAAAAAATTTAAACAACTCATTAAAGTGGAAATAAGTATTCATATAAATATTAAAGTACAATTATTGATTTGTATATATATATATATATATTTTAACATAAAAACGAAAATTCAACCTGTTTTTCATCATTATTTTCGAACTTTTAGAACTGAACAAATTCATTTATGTAAGAAAATTTTGTATTAAATATTTTATTTATATATCATTACTCTTTTACATATGTTATGTTTGGATTTTAGATTTTGGATTTGTAAAATTATTTGTAGATGAGGAAATAAAAGGGTGAAGAAAAATGAATGAAGTAGAAGTTAAAGATATATGTATTCCCTTCTATAAGAACAAAAAATATATATATACAGAATTTTAAACTAAAATGATGTGATAGCTTTGGGCTGTATTATTTAAAAAATAAAAACACATTAATTTGATTTTTATTTTTAAAATTATCATTATCACATCATTTTAATATATAATTATGTATTTTAAATGCACCTAGAATATAAAACAAACACATGGACCGAAATTTGGAATGGTCACAAATGTCCAGGTAAACAAACAGACCAGGGCCGGCCCAAGCCATTGAGCCTAAAGCCCTCTTTTTTAAAAGACTCAATTTTTTAATTATTTGTTAAACACTTTTTAAATAGAGGACTACTAGGTCTTATTTGTCAAAATTTAAAAAAATTAAAAAATCAAAAAATTACTATTCTATTTAAATTACATTATCTTATTTAAGTCATATTACTTCCCTACCACATCACTTCAAACTCAACATATATCCAAACCATATTTCATCTCAAACAACCTTACTTCCTCAAGATCTCTTCTTTTTTATTTTTATTTTTAATTCTAATTTTGTCCAAACATTAAATTCTATTTCTATCCTCATCCCTAACTCTCTAACCCTAATTTCTTGAACCCAAACCCTATCATCCCCTCACCTTCAGCAGTCACCATCTCCCTTTCACCACCATCTCCGGCTAGTTCCCTACCACCACCACCAATCACCATGGTCGCCTCCTCTTTTTCTCCTCAGGACCCTACAAATCCCCCCTTACGAGGCTCCCTCTGCTGTACTGGTCACCGACGATCTCACCTCCTGATGCCCGATCTCTATCGAAAAATTGCCTAAGACCTCCATACAGTGCTACCACAAGATAGAGAAGCTCCGAAAACGGTACTGAGCTAAGATTCAGTGTGCCTTAGCGATGACCCCCAAAGGGCAACGGTTCAATTCCTTTTGGGTTCACTTCGATCGAATGGATTTGATTGAAAAGGGTCTGAATTCTGTCTCCATCATGGTTTATTCGAGCCCCATGGATGAAGATGAACATGATGGTGATGATGATGAAAAGGATTTGTATCAAAGTGTAAAGCGTGGTGTTATTGAAAATCGGGATGCTCAAGCAATGGGATCGGCGGGTGTTACAGTGGTTCATGGGGCTGTCGCCAGATGGGGATAGCAGAAGAGGGTGTGGCCGAAGCTGGCAATGGTTAGGATGGAAGGGCAGGTTAGGAAGATGGCATAATTGGAATTAAGGTAGGGGTTCAAAGTGAAAGTGTGAGGGATTGGATAGGGGTTAAAAAAATAGAAAGTCCAAAAAAATTAAATAAGTACTAATAACAGTTCTTTTTAAAAATTCAATAATATTTGAATATGTATGATTCAACATCTAATAATATTTGAATATATATGTTTTTAGTAAGGTTATTAGTAAAAATTTAAATAGACGAGGTATTGCTCTTATTTGTTTATAAATCCTCGGTTAAAATCATATTTAAAAAAAAAAAAAAAAAAAAAAAAAAAAAAAAAAAAAGAAAAAAAAGAGTAACAAATGAAACATTTCTTTATTTGAAGGCCAAGAAAAAAGACAGACCTTGTCTAAAAAGTACTAATAATAAAGTCTGATTAAAATTCTCATTATCCAAAGATTCTCAATATTAAATCTTTATGTTCCAAATTTCAAACTCTGAAAAGGCTCTTAATAATAAAGAATGTAAGTAATTCAACATTTTAATTACAAAAATAAAAAATAAAATTTGAATATTACATTCAAATTTGTAATATTATATAATTAGGTAAATTATGTATATACCTATCGGGATTTTCTTAAAATGCATATTATTTTTGTAATTTTAAAAATTACAAATATCTTTTTTAACAAATTTTTTATTTAACAAAATCAAACCAAATCAAGCCAAACCAAGCCTTAAGTCCCATCAAATGGGATCGCCTACATGAATCCTTCTTTTCCACGGGACTTTATCAAAGGCCATTTCATTAATCA